AATTCTGAGTTTTGGTGATTTTCCCAAAATTGGCCACGAGGCGCAGCAAGTTGCGGGACTAGGTGACTTGCACCATATACGTATAATGCTGACCTTTTTAAATGTTTTCCTTCCATGCCTCCCTCCCTCAAATGATTGCATGTTGAGCAAAATTTTTCAGTTGCACAGCACTATCGACAACAAAATGTACGGTGATGTAATTATAAATTTTTGGAAGCTTTCAAATTCTTTACTTGATCCAACCAACAGAAATGTCTTCCTCAAGTATCTCGCAGTGCTTTCAGTGAAGTCGTTCTGTTACCCGTCGAGTCTTATTCCTTCAGCTACAAAATCCTATGTTGAGAAACTTGAGACGTGACCTATTTCAATCATATCTCGCTAGATCTTTCGCAAATCCCACACTTCCTTCACCTCACCTGACGAGTCTATTTCTCCAATTGGAAGAAACTTACAAATGTAACCGCAAAACAGCTTCCAGTATGAGCACTTTTATTGTTTGTTGTATTACTCTGTTAAGTTTCTCACCACCTTTTCACTATTTGCAGACTGTCGCATTGGCGAAAATATTTGTTGTTAGTTTCATATTGGTGGACCTCCTTTATGTTTGGTATCGGAACAGATGTAATGAACATCTTCTTAATAAAACCACGGAAAAAGGAACATAACCCAAGGTGGGAACTTCATGTGACAAGTTTATTCCTCAACCTATAGTAACAGAACGCCTAAAGAGAATTTTTCAGCCTTATGAAGATCAATCATTTTATCAAGTTATCTGTGAAGAGCATGGAACCAGGAGGACAACATGAACTAGAATTCTGGCAAAAGAAACTAGACAGGGAGTTATATTTGTTGATATTCCTGCAAATATCATGAAATTGGGCAAAGCAATTGGAGAAGGATATCTCTCTCACAACACAGCTATCTTGGGCGATACTAGTAGTGAGTTTATCATTACTGTTTTGTTTTTAACAACAAATATTTTTAACACCAATTTCTCTTTTATAGAGAAAATTAATCATCCTGAATGGGGGAGAGTTTTGAATTCCTTTAAGCGTGCCTTCCATAATATACAAAAAGAAATATGGCAAACCACCAATTATTGTTTATGATAATGTTAGCCAATTTGTTCACAAAAATTCGGAAATCCTTGATATCCTTCAGGATGATGTACTGACAAGGTTTTTAATGCCCACGAAGAAACACTGAAGATTTACAAGCATATTTATGATCTGGTATTTTTATTTCTAGCACGTAATTCTTAGTCACATGCAAAAAGCCCAGTAATGGAGATTGGTGGGTGATCTTAGCAAGAGGGAATCAATGGATTATCTGGTCAACAAGCACAAAATTAGCTTTTCAAAAGCAAATAAAATTTATAAATTAGTTGGTGGTTGTATCATAGAGCTGAAGACTGTGGCGGATGATTTTCTGGCTGGACAGTCCTTCGAAGGTAGCATTGATTTTATATTTTGTTATGCAACTCTGCTTTGAATTATTGCTTAACCCTTTTTCTGCAGTCATTAAACTGCAAATTGTAACTGAGGTCAAGAAGAAATTTGATTTTACAAAACTCCTTAGAGGCCAATCATGTCATGAAGTAGGTAAGCATGTCATTGGTGCTTTGTTGGTTTCCAAAGAAATCGATACTGAAGTATTTAGAGAATTTTTTGGTGATGAAAATCCAGTGAAGTTTTAGGAGCTAATGTATTTGCATATCATCTATCAAAAGATACAGTGACCTTTTAGTCTCAATCAATAGAATACTACTAATATATTCATTAAATAAGGCCATAATTTTTAAAGAAAATATAGGTATACTTGATGTTGTTAATGCCTTTTATTGATAGTTAAGAGCTCATAATGTTATAAACTTTATGATTTTTCAATGCAATTGAATCGGTGATTTAGAAGAATCGTTGCATATTGGGGATTTTGATTTTTATACTCAAATCTCAAAGCCTAATTAGCCTAATCTAGCCCAATGTCATTAGAAGTATTGCCATTTCGATTCCGGATAATCGGTTGATTAAAACAAAATCTTGGTCGATTATCCACCAATCTCATCCGTATTATCTGTATAATAAAAATGATCTAAAAACATTTTATCATTAAAACAACAAAAAAAAATATTATTCAAAGAGAGTATTACATTTCCATTAAAAATAAAGAGATAAAAATATTTCTAGTATTTTCCATAAATATTTATTATTATGTAAAAACAGATTAATGACAATGATAATAATAAGGTTAATGTGGGTGGAACATCTGCTCCTGGTGCAAACTACTACTATACTAACTCAAGTAATTGGATTAGATACACAAAATGGATAGTCATCATCCATTCAAATTATATCAAACTCCATCATCATCCATTATAATTGCATCACCGTCTTTATCCTCCTCCTCCTCCTCCTCCTCCTCATCATCATCATCATCATCATCATCATCAACTTCTACTACATCATTACATTCCTTCAAGTCAACTCAACTATTAGGACAATAAATACCCGTCATCAATAGCAGCAACAGGAACCAACTCATTACCATTATCCAGGAACCCGTTACCACATCATATTCAAATGTACAAGCAGTTCATCAATTAGGTTTTTTCACCTTGACCATCGTTATCAAGCTCAATTTCAATAGAACCACCACCTGTTCAAGTATCTTTTCCACCACCATCAGGAGGTTCATCTTAAATATATAGAATATATATATATATATATTATTTTATTAAACTTAATATTTTATCCTCAATTTTTTTTGTATGATAATTTCAATTTCCCCCTCTTCAGTATCAGAAACAATGATCAATATGGAAAAATGAAATAAACTTGAAATAAATTTAGAGATAAATATGATTTCATTAATTGTTTTTTTAAATAATTAATAGCTATTTTTTATGAAAAAAATTTTTTTTAGGAAAATGAAATGAAATACTATCTTACAATGTTTCATTACAAAAGCTCTATTGATTTTTGTTTTATAGCATAACTGATTCCTTCTTGCTTGTTTTAGCATTGAATTGCCTCTGTTATGGAACTAAAAGGATTTTACAATTTTGATTTTATTAAATCACCGATTTTTTCCCTTTCTTCTTGACTAAATTTTAATCTTCCGCCATGTAATCTTCTGTTTCTATTGTTGATATTATCTTCATCTTTAAATCTTGGTATAATATGGAAATGTACATGAAAAACCACTTGACCAGCAAAACTACCATTATTTTGTAAGATATTAAAATCTTTTATATTTAACGCTTGACATATTGCATTTGAAATCATTGGAAGTGACGCACCAATTGCAGCGATTGTTGAAGGTGAAGCTAAATTTATGTATGGTACATGTTTTTTGGGGATGACTAATGTATGACCTCTTGATATTGGTGCTATATCTATTATTATTATTATTTTTTATTTTTTTATGAATGGAAAAAAAACCAATTTATCAATAATTTTTCTAATAATAAAAATAAAAAATAGATTTTTAAATTTGTAAAAAAAAAAAATCCCTCTCTCCATTACCAAGAAATGCTAAAACATCATCATTTTCAAAAATTTTTACACAAGGTAATTCACCAGCGATTATTTTACAAAAAGTACAATATTTTTTTTTTTGATTTTCATCGTCATTTGTTACTTTTTTCGTTAATTCGAAAAGTACATGAGGAGTAGAACTTTTTATAGGTGTGGAAGAATAATTGGAAGATGGAAAAAGTGGATTATCAATTATTTGTTGTTGATTTTGCATTTTTTTTTTTAAAAAAATAATATTTTGACTCCACATTTTAGATGCATTTCGTGTCACGTATCTACAATAATTTCAAATCAAAGATCTTCCAATTTCCATCTATATAAAAATATCCAAATAGTTCATTGGATCAAACGTAGATAAAAAAGTTGAACATCTAATGTTTGGGTAATTTAAAGAAACTTGCGTTTAGGAAGATTAGTGAGATTGATCCCAAGAATAAAATATCGAAAAATGACAAGCAAGTACTACCAAGCAAAGAAAGGCCTTGGATTTATTTGTTTTTTTTTGGTTTCCATTAAGAAAAAAGTTGTGGAACCGCACTTTGAAATGGTGGATATGCAATCTAATTATATTTAGAAACACTTTTTTATAATTTATATTAATGGATATAATTTACAAGTTTTAACAAGTGCTTTAAAAAGCATTTGGTATTTTGATAACAATAAAAAGATGCAATGTATTTGTATTAAATACAAAAAAAAATTTTAATTGTACAAATTAGACATTCTAATAAGATAAACCCTGTAATAAATAAACTCTAAGAATTGTTAATTGACTTGTAAAAAAATAAAACAAGACTATTATTTTGTGGTAAAAAGCCATGGTTTATTTCTTTAATTAGTAAGCAAAAGCTTGATACTAATGTTGGTTAACTAGTGCGTATTAGCAATAATTAATAAGGCATTTGGTTTAGTACATTAGTTAGCTACTGAGTGTCAACATCGGTTGGTGAAGTATTGTCCAAGAGTGTTTTAATTAGAAATGAAATACTGATAGAGTTATTGTATAATTTGTTATTGTAAAAGTAAGACCATTAAACAAGCTGCTCAAGTTGTTTTGTAAATAAGCCAAAAGCAAGTTTACAAGTGTAAACGGCAGAAAGAAATTGGTCACAAGTAATTTCATAGAAGCCGTTTAGCTATTGCAAAGAGCCTTTACAATTATCCAGTATGCTCACAAATTCGTCGAAACTTTCTAGGTACAAGAAGAGGCAGTAAACAAGAGCCAAGGTAAATTGGTAAACTTATTGACTAATAAACGCAGGATTATTGTGTATTGGTTGCAATTAACTGACAAGGGAGCCCAAAAGTTAAACCATCATCGGCCATACTTTAAGCTCCAAACAGTTTGGTTTATTTTTCGGTTCGATTTGGTATCGGTTTAAAATCAAAAGTATTCCGAACAGACACAAAGAATATAATAATAAGCGCAGCTGAAAATTAAAAATTAATTAATTATATGTAGAACAAATTTTACTTACACCTTATCATTTGAGCTACGGGAAATAAAGGCGTGCATAAATATGTGGTATTAGTATGTGATATTGGTTATTGCACTAATGGTTTTTTGATTTTTGGTTTTGAAGTTTATGATTATCTGAATTCAAGATTTACGTAATCGAGTTAATTTTTAATTTGTAGAACAACTTTTATTTGATTCAAAAGCTTTTTGTTGGCAATTGTTGTTATTTAAATATTGAAGTTTTCAAAGCGTTAAATGATGAATTATTAAAAATGATGGTCTTATTATCTGAGATTAAAATATATCAATAGGCAATATTATTTTTTTATATGCATGCCAAATAATTTTTTTCTCAATAAAAAATCATTTCCAGCCATTCAGGAAAAAAGAACGGATGAATCATATTTTTTTCATATATAACAGTATGAGTATTATTGTATTGTCACGATTGAATTTAATATAATATAAATGACGTGTATGTTTCATAGAATTCTTTGGAATTCTGATTTCCAATTTTTTATGCAATGTGAAATTTAATCAAGCATATTCGGATTTGATCAATCGACTACTTCCATAACTGAAAGAACAAGTCTCACAGCCTGAAAGCGTAACCCATTAACAGAAGTGAGATTAACCCCACTGTAGGACATTTTAAGGCATGAGTTCGATAGATACTAAAGAAAATTGGTACGTAAATTTATCACCACTTGAAAATTTATTGCACGTGAATAGTATGAGACAATGCAAAATACTAATTCCCTTTCCATCACGAAAAGGTCAAGTGAACAAATAAGATGGTCGATATCACACGTCGACAACTTTTAAAAATAAATACTGAAATGTTCAGTTCTTTTATGCAAGATATCACTAGGGATTATGAGGAGCGTGTCAATGCAAATAAGGAATCGCGATGTGAGATCAAGAAAAAGATGTTTCAATTATAAGAGGCGGAAGATAAGTTATTCAAGCCTGAAATTCCTATCATTGATTGCTCACATTAAAACGTTTTAATCTTATCCTCCAGCTCCAGCGGAATATCCCATCTGAGCCGAATTGAAAGTTGATCTGATATTGGTTCATCCAAAGTAATAATTATTAACTCCCGCTGTTGAAGAGAATCATCTATAATTTTAGAGGCTTTACGTGAATCCACATCTACGTAATTTCAGCAATCTTTTTTGTTAAGCCTTCACCATTAAAAAGTACAATGTGCGTGTGTCGCATTTTCACGTGTATCTGTAGCAGAGTTGGAAATGGTCAATGGTCGATGACTCTTTCATTGGACCACTGGACCATTGAACATATATGTCTAATTTGTCCTTTTATAGGTAATTTTTGCGCAGCTTTGCTTGCAATGGTCAATAATCAATGTTCCATTCATATAGTAATAGCTCATTATTACCCAAATAAAGCAATCATCTTTCCATTTTTTTCCAAATGATTTTCTTTAATATTAATGCAAAAGAAAAACGGCGGAAAATCAAAGCATCGTTTGACACATACATAATGGTTTTAAATGAAGTTGAAGGTTACATTTTAAAAAATAATGCAAAAATTTTTTCAATAATATTAGTAAATGACATGCATGACATTGAAAAGTATTTTTTGTTCTAATTAATATAGATTACGATGATGAGTTCTACTACTACACCCACTTATCAACACCAAATTCAAATTCTATTTCCTTGTATTTTCTTAAACCTCCAACAAAACGGGAATAAATGTGACCTTTCTCTTTCAGACAGACTGAAAATCCTAAAACTCATGATCTTTTTTTCACAATATAATAAATTACCCGAGAGAAAGGCATTGAGTGGAAGAATTCTTGTGTCGGACGTCTTTGAAGTTACAAGCATCTTTGTAACACCAAGCAAGACAAGAGAAATGATTTGAGAGTTTTTTAGATGTTGATATTGATGCCAATGTTGAACAATCCTTTTTCAATAGAAAAATAGACACTTGGCCTGTATTAATAATATTAATAGGAAGATGAGATACAAGGCTTGAAATTTTATTTTATATATAAAAACATATTGTCACAAAAAATTTACTTTGACTGATTTCGCTATATATATTAATATAAATTTTCAATGCAAATACTGGAAATAAAAAGTAATAACGAATTGTTATTTTTATTTGAAAAAAGAATAATACATTAGAAAAGTAATTTTCAAAGTCGGATGATTCTTCAATTATGTTTAACTTTCTATTATCATCGTTATTTTTATAATCTACAGTACAATTTATTAATGAAAATCTTATTTTAATAGTGTTGTTTTGTATTGCCACCTGTGGTTGGTAAATAATAATAATATCTTTTTTTCATTATAATCATTATTCTTATTACAACTAATGCTATCATTATTATTATTGCAACTATTACCATCATTATTATCATTATTACTGCCATAGCGACCATCATTGTTGTCATCATTAATATTATCACTATCATTATCATCATCATTATTTAGTTATCATCATTATCAGTATTATTATCAGTGGCTTCTTGTACTATCCTTATTGATATTATTATCACCACTACGATTAATAACAATGTCGTTATGATTATGCACCTTGTCAGTTTCGTTTTGTTCATCATGGTTATTTACAGTGGATGATGCTGTATGTATCAGTATTTGTGGTGAAGCTGTTGATTATTTTTTAATCTACTTTATTATGGTGGAGTTGATGTTGATTTTGTGATTTATGGTTCTGTTTACTCAACGGCGGTAATGTTGATGATGATTTGCACCAGTTCATTTGATGGTGGTGATATCTTTACTATTAATTATATTATTATCAATATAGATAGATGTGTCAGTATTTTTTAATAATAATGGAATGATTTATTTATTTAGGATTTATATTTACATTTTTAAATACATAAATGATAGCATTTTACGCTGTGGTAATAAGTGATTGCTATTTTTAAATGTTTTAACTAGAATAGCTCTCAAAACAATCATGCTCTAACAATACTTACTCATTTCTAGCTTTTTTTCGAATTGTTCTTTGTTCATTTTCTTCGTCATAAATATCACGATTTCTAATAAATACAAAAGTTGAAGGTGATCAATTTTAATAAATTTAGTAAACTAGAATGACGGAACAATAACAACCACCACCATTTTTTAATAATAACTAGAATAGCTCTCAAAACAATTATGTTCTAATAATACTTACCCTGGCGCTTCATTTCTTTCGGTCCCTTATTTTTTTTTTTTCTTCGTGAGCATTTTGTTTATTCAATATTAATGTTTTTTGAGATTTGGAAAAACAATCTACTAAACCTCGTTTCAACGATGATCATCAAAATCGTTGTAATGATCGACAGTTTATATACATGTATACTATATATATATATATATTTTAATGGATGATGGATGGTGTTCTTGAGACATTTTCAAAGGTTTTAATTGTGAAAAATTTTTAATTGCGTAGGATTGTAAGAATTTGATCTTTATTTATACAAATCCTCGATGTATTGTGAGTATTTTTATCGTTTGTTCAAAGACTTATCTTTAACCCTAATATATGTAATACAGAATTCTCAAACTAATAATTCTTAATCGATTTTGAGGAGGGACATATGGAGAAACCCTGCCTTTGGATCCCGATATGCGAAATTTCAGAGTGAAGGGACATATGTAACTGACATAATAGTTCCACTTATCCGAGCTACATTTAAAATGCTTCCTATTGGAGGAATAGCTTTTCTTAGCACGTAGGTTAATAAATCTTATATGCAATTCCAA